CAAGATCATCACAAGATGCAAATCTTTCTCCAGGAGAAAGTTCCTCGATGCTCCCAAGACTTCAGCAGGAGATTCTTAAGGAAATTCTAATTTCAGTTTTTTGGTTTTTTATTTATTTATTTATTTATTTTGGTCTTTTTGAGACAGGGTCTCCCTGTAGCCCCAGCTGTCCTGGAACTATGTAGACCAGGCTGGCCTTGAACTCAGAGAGATCTGCCTGCCTCTGTCTCCCGAGTGCTGGGATTAAAGGTGTGTGCCACCACGCCCGGCCTAATTTCAGTTTTCTAAAATATTTTATTTACTAGTTTTATTTTATGTGTACGAGTGTATTGCTTGCATGTGTGTAAGTGCACCTGTGTTGTACAATGCCTGCAGAAGTCAGAAGGCATCAGATCCCCTGGAACTGGAGTTACAGACGGTTGTTAACCACCATGTGAGTACTGGAAATCAAACCCAAGTCCTCTGCAAGAGCAACCAGCGCTCTTAACTGCTGAGCCATATCTCCAGCCCCAGGAAATTCTAATTTTTTACAATTAAATTTTTTATTTTATTATTTTTTAAAATTGTGTGAGGGGTTGCACATGTGAGTACAGACCCAATTAGTTTTTTTAATATTAAAAATTGTGTGTGTGTGTGTGTGTGTGTGTGTGAATTTCCTGCTTGTATTTAAGTGTGCCAGTGTCCTGCAATGACCATCAGAAGAGGGTATCAAATCTCATGGAACTGGAGTTATGGATGGTTGTTAGCCATCATGTGGGTGCTGGGAATCAAATCCAGGTCCTCTGTGAGAGCAGCCAGTGCTCTTAACCCTGAGCTATCTCTCCAGCCCCATAACATTTAAAATTGTTCATTTGGGGGGCTGGAGAGGTGGCTCAGCAGTTAAGAACACTGGTTGTTCTTGCAGAAGACCCAAGTTCAAATCCCAGCACCCACACGGCAGCTAACAACTGTCTGTAACTCCAGTCCCAGGGGATCTGACAGCCTCTTCTGACCTCTGAGGGCATTGCATGACACGGGTGCATGCAGGCAATACACGCATATCCATAAAATAAAAATAATAAATAAAAATTTTTAAAGAATTTTTTATTTGGAATCCACTGGAATCTTCCATCAGCTCTGCCTACTGCTGCTGCTTTTGGGAGCTGGGCACGTGCATGGGGGAATGCTGGTCTTGAAAAGGTCTCCTCCCCTACCACCTGCCTTTGGTTCAGCTCAAGCCCCCTCTACCCTGTCCCCAACATGGGTTCTAATCATTATCCTGTTTCTGTTTCAGGGATTTTTCTAGTTCCTTCAGTGAAGTCCTCCACTCCTGTCTGAACTTGAATTTGCATCTTTGAGGCTAGCAAAATTAGCTGCCTCAGGTGGCTCATGAGTAACAGAGCCGTGGCCAGGGCTGAAGATCAAATCAGGACAAATTTGTCCACAAGGACTTCTCTGAAAAAAGAGAAAAAAAACGAGGAAGGACCTTGAGCCTAGCCCTGACTCTCAAAGACCTCTTGTAATAGTGTAATGTTTACAAATATTTTTCAGAAATGACCAAAAAAATATGTACTTTTCATTTTGGGGGGTGGAGACTTGGCTTAGTGATTAAGAGTGCATACTGCTTTTACAGAAGACCTGAGTTCAGTTCCCAGTACCCATGTTGAGTGACTCACAACTACCTGTAACTCCAGGGGATCTGATGTCCTTTTCTGGTCTCAGAGGGCACTACACTCACATGGCACATATCCATTCAGATCTTTTTTGGTCTTTTTGAGACAGGGTCTCCCTATAGCCCCAGCTGGCCTGGAACTCACTATGTAGACCAGGCTGGCCTTGAACTCACAGAGATATGCCTGCCTCTGCCTCCTAATTTTGGTCTTTTTTTTTAATGTCTTGTTTTATAATTTTGTTTTATTACCATAAAATGTCATAGAATTAATACCATGTTGGAACAAGGTATTTGAGAAAAAACTTGAATCTGTGCTCCTGGGCTGTGGTCATTCATATTTAGCTCCAGAATAAAATATTTTATCCCCTTTGAGATGAGAATTGTGGTTTTGTATCAGCTAGATCTTTTTCTGTTTTGTTTTGTTTTTTAAAGTGTCTCAAGTAACCCAAGCTGGCCCAGAACTCTCTGCTTAGCCAAGGATGACCGTGAACTTTTGATCTTGCTGCCTCTATCTCCCCAGAACTGGAATTTCAGGTCAACCTGACCATGCCCAGTTTATGTGGAGAATGAACCCAGACTTTTGTGCATGAGAGGCAAGCACTCTACCAACTGAGCTACAGCCACAGCCACTTCTTCCCTCCCTCCCTCCCTCCCTCCTTTCCTTCCTTTCTTCCTTTTGTTCTTTCTTGTACTGGGAACCACACAGCTTAAGCAAGTGCCCTTCTACTGAGCTATGTCCTCAGCTCACCATTTCTGAATAAACTCCAACTTTACTTCTTACTGGCTCAACCTAACATTCTTTTCTGCAATATATTCAAGAATCCCAATTTAGCTGGGGGTCCTTTAATCCCAGCACAGGCAGATTGCTGAGTTCAAATGTAGCCTGGTTTACAAAGACAGTTCCAGGCCCAGCAGACAGGGCTATATAATGATACCCTGTCTCAAAAAACAAGAAAACAAAAAAGAATCCCAACTTCACCTAAGTAGAGGTCTCTGAAAGGACACCCCACGCTGCAGTGTTAGGCTAGGTCACCCACTGTCAGTGACCCAGACCTGCAGTGACAGCAGGTCGAGAACTTAGCTGACTCTCCTCCTATTGAAGCCATTTTTCTAGTTCTCTGAACTGGAGAGTGTATATTCTGTTAGCATAGTAAATTACCTGAGGCTGGTTAAAAAAAAATTCACAAAAGGCTTAGAGTTTTGGGTGTCCCAAGGTTGAGGACCACATCTGGTAATAGGTTTCTTTCCCTTTTTTTTCTGTTTCTTTTTTTGAGATAGAGTCTCACCACATAGTCCTAGCTGCTCTAGAACTAGCTATGTAGACCAGGCTTGCCTTAAATCCACATAGATCCACCTGCCTCTGCCTCCCAAATGCTGGGATTGCAGGCACACCCCACTATACCTAATGAGCCTATGACTTTGTAGACAACTAATGTCCCTCATCTCTCCTCCTCTGTCATTAAACTAAAGCATCTCACAGATTTTCCCTTATCAACATGAATCTTTGTGGGGGTTCACACAAAGACTATACCCAGACATGAACCTTTGTGGGGGTTTACACAAGCCATACCCAGACTATAGTGGACAGCAACCAGTAAATCTTAAGGGAAGCCACAGGCAACCTTTTGTCAATTGACCCAGAAGTTACATTTCTGAAAAATTCAGACTGGTATCAACATTGTGTACACTTCTGTGCAAAGGAGGTTAGGGTCTAGCTCAGATCAACAGTTTTCCTCGGTTAGGTAAAAATGTATAGGATTCCCAGAACCCACATTGGGTGGCTCACAACTGCCCGTTATGACACCTCTGACCTCCTTGTGCACCTGTACACATGTTCATGTACCCCCAAACAGACACACATGCTACACAGTTTAATAAAAACTAAGCCTTAAAATATATGATTAATAAATAGGTAGACAGACAGACACTGTTATGGGATACTAGTTTGGACTGAGCTCTACAATAGGCCCTATGGACCAAACCAAAATGGAGTCATTCAGGCTAAGGTTCTACACCATCAAGTTGAAATTCACCATCCAAAAAATCAGAAGAGGGAGAAACAATAGCCAAATTCCCAAACACGCCCCTTCGAGCTGGAATTCCCTCAGCATTAGTCATTTCAAAGAAAGTGAAGCAACCAGTCTGTTTTCTGTTCTGTTTTGAGCTCCCCAGCCTTCTGGACCTCTTCCCCTCAGCTCATCAGGATACCCACTCTACTTTATAAAATAAAGTGTTACTGGGGTCTACAGTTTGAAATACAAGCCAATAAACCTGTAGAAGAGACAGAGTCAGTTCTCTGGACAAGACTTCCCAAGCCATAACCACCATTACACCCACCCTCTAGGCATTTCCCAAACAGCCCTAAACTGCTTTCTTTTTCTTTTCACTTTCTATTTTTATGTTTTGGTTTTGGTTCTTGTTTTGTTCTGTGTTTCAAAATACTTGTGTAGCCAGGCAGACCCAGAACTCTCTCTATATATATTCCAGATAAACCTTCAACTTGGAATTCCCCTGCCTCGTCCTCTGCAGTGTTGGAATTACATGTGTGATCTACCATACCAGACTCTAATCTTTAATTATATTCTAAGCAGTAGGTCCTTCTTGAACCCGTCCAAAGGTTTTTCTTCTCAGAGTTTGGCCCAAGATGTAATTGCAGGAACTGACAATCAGAGGCAGGAGAATCACAAGTTCGAGGCCAGTGTCAGAGTTAAAGAGTGAGACCCTTTCTCAAAAAGTCAAGGGCTGGGGCCAGGCACTGTGGGATGGCCTCTAATCCCACATGGTTGACAGAGGCAGGTCAGTCCATCTCTCAGAACTGGGGGGTCTCCTGTCCTCTGCACCCAGCCAGCCTGCTCATGGCCCAGCCCATCTTGTCTGCTATTTTTCCACAGCATAGATCAATGACCTACTGACTAATTTACTCATTACCAGTCTGATCATCACAGCCGATGCACCTTACAGCCTGTAATGCTTGTTCACCAAAAAAGCCATTTTCATTCTTTCCCACATGTACAGAGGGGATTTGGGGGGCGGGGCACAGACTATTTTGACTTTGACATTTTCTCTCTCTCTCTCTCTCTCTCTCTCTCTCTCTGTGTGTGTGTGTGTGTGTGTGTGTTTCCATATAGGGGATTTAAACCAGGGCCTTGTGCATGCTGTGCTATGGCCCCTTTACTTTTGGGGACAGGGTCTCACTAATGTCCAGGCAGACCTTGAACTTAAGGATACTCCTGCTTCAGCCCACAAGTAGCTGTGATCACAGGCATACACCAGCAGCCCAGATAAGAGGTTTTATTTTTCATGAGCTTCTTAACGGTCACGTGCGGGTACACCCCCCACCACCCCCACCACCCCGCCGCGCACATGATGCTTATTATGTCCACCATTCATCATATCTCTGCCTCTATTAAGTTCAGTGTGAGCAAGAATTCAGGTCTTGGGGGCTAGAGAAACGTGACTCAGCGGTTAAGATCACACTGCTCTTGCAAAGGGCAGGGGTTCAATTCCTGGCACCCACATGAAAGCTAACAACGATCTGTAACTGAAGGTCCAGGGGATGTGACACCCTTTTCCGGCTTCACAACAAGGATTCACTTACATACAGGCAGGCAAAACACTCATATACATACAATAAACAAAAATAAAATCCCAGGTCTGCATCTACAGCTGTGTGAACACAGGAAAGTCACTTGGCCTCTGAGAGTCTGGGTTTTCTCTCGTGTGAAGTGGAGCCTGAAAAGTATCCGTTTCTTGGGGTTGCTACCCTGGCACAGAGTGAAAAGAATCGGTAAAGTTTGGTGCTAATGGTTACAAGATTTTTTTTTTGAGACAGGGTCTTCCTCTAATCCCGGCTGACCTGGAACCACTATGTAGACCAGGCTGGCCTCCATCTCAAAATCCTCCTGCCTCTGCCTCCCAAATGCTGGGATTAAAGGTGCGTGCACCACCACGCCCTGCTGTTTACGGAGATTTTCTCTGCCTCTTGAGTTTGCCTTTTCCTGTAAATCCAGACCAACGCCTCTGGTCTTAAAGGTGGGACTCCGTGGGTGGAGCCTTCCAACTAGATGCCTAGTCAAAATGTTAAACAGTTCGAGGCTCCAGGCATTTTAGGCCGAATTACGGTCATTCCAAGTGGCTGATTGGTGCGAATGGAGAGGGGCAGACCCGGCGTTCCCATCGCCCCAATCCGTGGCCTAGTCTCCCGCACCGGCTGGATTCCCTCGCCGTCAGACGGCAGCCGGAAGGAGGAGGGGTCTAGAGGGAAGCTAACAGAAAGTGCTGAACCTTAAGTGAGAGGCGGGAGAGTCCGAAGGGCCAGGGGCCGGGAGGCACCGCAGGCCCCACCCGGGAAGGATGGCGTGGGGCAGGGTTGGGGCTCGGCCGCCCTCCCGGCCACGAAAGGGAGCTGGCAAGGGTGCTGGTGAGCGGGCCGAGGAGGGAGGCTGGCGAGGACCCGCACGGGAGGAGGGGCGCGGCTGATGCTTCGGGGCGTCGGTCCCGGCGCGGTGCAGGGCCGGGCGGCGGAGGCTGCGCGCCGCGGAGGCTGCCGGTCCCTGACGCTTGACCCTCCGTCGCCCGCAGTTCCAGCCACGCCTGGAGGGAGGACCATGGGTGCCTTGACCTCCAGGGGCCGCGCCGCCCGGGTCCCCGCGCGGGAGCCGGAGCCCGAGGAGGCGCTGGACCTGAGCCGCCTGCCCCCGGAGCTGCTCCTGGTGGTGCTGAGCCACGTGCCACCGCCGACGCTGCTGCGCCGCTGCCGCCGGGTGTGCCGGACCTGGCGGGCCCTGGTGGACGGCCAGGCCCTATGGCTGCTGATCCTGGCCCGGGACCGCAGCGCCACCGGCCGCGCCCTGCTGCCGCTAGCCCGTAGCTGCCTGCCGCCCGCCCGCGACGACACGCCCTGCCCCTTGGGGCGCTTCTGCGAGCGACTACCTATAGGACGCAACCTCATCAGCAACCCCTGCGGCCAAGGTGATGAGTCCGGGAAGGGATGCCTCTGGGGCACAGCTGGGGGCGGGGCTACGGGAAGCGAAATGGGAGGGTCTGAAAGGCAGGGCCAAAAGGAAGGAGGGGCTGAGGGGCAGGATCTTAAGGGAGCAGGTAAGACCCCAGACATGATATGGGGTGGGGGGCCTAAGGAGTGGGTCGTATGAAACGTGGGGAGAGCGCTAGGGCGTGGTCGCCAAGGAGCCAAGCCTGAGAGTCCAGACTACCGATGGCCCTGTGGGAGGGGCTCCAAGGGAGGTGGTGGAAGGGGAAGGATTTCTTTTAACATCTGGAGGAGAGATATGGCGCCCTGGAGCCACCAGGGGAGACTCTAATTTGGACACAAACATTTCTTTTAATTAAAAAATTTTTATTTTTAGTGTTTTTAATTATTTTGAGACAGTCTTACTGTGTAGCTCTGAATTTGCAACAATGCTCCTGCCTCAGCCTCCCATGTGCTGGAATTTCCCAATTTAAGCCTTTTTTTTCCTCTTTAACAGAAGGCCTACGCAAATGGATGGTGCAGCATGGCGGAGACGGCTGGGTGGTGGAGGAGAACAAGAAGCTGGTCCCCGGGGCCCCCTCGCAGACCTGCTTCGTGACGTCCTTCAGGTGAAAGTCCTCGGGGGTCGTCAGATTCGTTGTTGAGAAGGGCCTGCCTGTTCTCATGACCTTTCTTTCTCCTTCCTTCCTAGTTGGTGTCGCAAAAAGCAGGTCTTGGACCTTCTGGAGGAGGGTCTGTGGCCAGAACTATTGGACAGTGGGAGGGTGGAGATTGCCGTCTCAGACTGGTGAGTGTGATGGCGGGAGCAGCCTTTTGCTAACAGCTAGGAGCCTTTTCTCCCTCCAGATAAACTGAAGGTCAGGGAGGCAGCAGGACCTTGACCATGACCACAGCTCCAAGAGTTAGCTGAGTACATGCCTTGAAAGCCTTTTTTTTTCTCAAAGGAAGTCCGTTGGGAGGTGGCAGATTTGTTCTTAATTTAGTTTGGTTTAGTTTTAGTAGCCTGGGACTGGAGAGCTTGCTGGATCAAGCTGGTCTCACGCCCAGCCACACCTTTTTAAAAATATGTTATTATTTTTTATTTTTTTATATGTGTGTATTGCCTGCATGTAGGTAAGTGCACCCGTGTCGTGCAATGCCCACGGAGGACAGAAGAGGTCGTTGGATCCCCTGGAACTGGAGTTAGTTGCCATGTGGGTGCTGGGATTCAAACCCAGGTCTTCTGCAAGAACAGTCAGTGTTCTTTACTGCTGAGCCATCTCTCCATCCTTGTCTTTTTTTTAAAAAGAAGGGGAGGCCGGGAATGGTGACACATGCCTTTAACCCCAAGTCTCAGAGATCGAGGCCAGCCCAGTCTACCTAGTTCCAAGCCAGCTAAGGCTAAAGGGAGACCCTGTCTCAAAAAAACAAAAGCAAACAAACAAAACTGAAATTAAATGGATTCTTGCTACTACAACAGTTATTACAGTGAAACACATAGCAAGGGCTTTATATGTGTGAGTGAGTTTTGGAATCCTGATCTCATGCAATCTCATCTGGAGATCATTCAAGTGTGACAGATGCCTGTGACAGCACCAACCAGGACATTCACCTGCAGTTTTCATTGGGGCTTCATCGCTGGTGAGCTCTTTGCTCACATGACTAACCTCAGCCTCCAAGACGCCAACATTAACTCACAGCCTCTACCCTAAGTTGGAGTGCTGATCTTTCTGGAGGTGCCAACTCCCACCTGAGCTGATCTGTGGGAGAACCAGCCTTGTCCTCGGTCACTCTAGTAAACTCTGGTATGACCTGAGTCCTCACCAAAGACACTCCTGTCACACATGAAACTGGAAGGGCCCAGAGAACATTCTCACAGGATAGTTTTCACAGGGGATTGAACTCAGGACCTCATGTGTACTAGGAAAATCCCCCACCACTAAGCCACATGCCAGGCCTCTTTTTATGTTTTATTTTGAGAGGGTCTCACTTAAGATGTCCACGCTGACCTTGAAACTCATTCTATAGCCTAGGCTGATGAACTGAATCTTCCTGTGTCAGCCTCCCAAACAACTGGAATTACATGCCTGTGATAAGCCTGTTTCACATGGCCCTTTTGTGTGTGCACATGCAGGGGTGCACTTCTGTGTGGATACATGTGAAGGCAAGAGGTCTTCCTCCAGTATCATTCCTCAGAAGCTGTCGACCCTGGGTTTTTTTGAGATGGGATCACTGGAACATGGGGTTCACCCTTAGACTAGATTGGCTGGCCAGCTGGCCCCAGGGATCTGCCTGTCTCTGCTTCCCCAGTGCTGGGATTGTTCTGGAAATTGAACTCAAGTCTTCATGGTTATGTGGCAAGCACAACACTGACTCAGCCGTCTTCCCAGCCCCACAAGACCCTTTTAAGGAATTAAATTTGTACTCACAGGGAGGCTAGACACCCAAAGAGATAAGTAGCAAGTCCAGCCTTCCAGACCTCCTCCTCTCACAGGTGGGGAGCCCGACATGACAGTGGCTGCAGATACCGGCTCCTTGTCAGACTTCTACATGCCAACCAGACTGTCCTTGATGAGTTCTTGGTAGTACCTGACCCCATTGAGCAGTGGAACAACAATGTCTACCTTCAGGTGAGTCTCTGGCGGAGGCTGAGTCTCTTAACTGGTGGAGGAGGATTGTGGGGGCTGTGGTCAGTCACCCTAGAACTCAGTGTCTTATGATCAATAGCAGCCATTTTCTTATCTTTTCTAGCTTTTTTGGTTTTGTTTGTTTATTTTTTGGTTTTTTTGAGACAAGGTCTCCCTGTACACGTCCTGGCTAGCCTGGAACTCACTGTGTAGACCAGGCTGGGCTTAGTCTTACAGATATCAGCCTGTTTCTGTCTCCCGAGTGCTGGGATTAATAGCCTGAGCCACTACACCTAGCTTCTTTTATTTTTTAATTTGTGTGTGTATGAGATGGGGGTGGGGTGCATGCCTTTGTGCATGCATGTGTATATGGAAGGCAAGGGTCAATGTCAGGCATCTTCTAGCACTTTCCACCTCATTTTTTGAGACCGGTTCTCTCACTGAACAGAGAACTCAATGATTGGCTAGACTGGCTGGCCAGAGAGTTCTGGGGAACCACCTGTATCCACCCCTCCTTCCCAATCAACACGAGGGTTACACACAGGCACCACCACAGCCATAGGTGTTGGGGATTCAAACTCAGGTCTTTATGCATGTGTGGCAGGCATTCTACTGACTGGGCTATTTCCCTAGTCCCATTCTTGTGTGTCCATCGATACGTGGAGAAGGCCGAGCTGGGCAGCGGAAGCTGAAGTCCCTTCTTGTTTAGACCACGGTGGAGCAGAAGGGCAGGCTGGCGGTGGTGGGTGACCATGCAGCTGGCCAAGCATCTCTGTTTCATTTCAAACCTCCTCCACTAGATCTCTGGGCCAGGCTGCACTGGGATCCCTCACAGCATGGCAGGCTCCAGGCAGGCAGACTGCTTCCATGGTGGCTAGGGCTAAAGAGTCAGAGAAATAAGCTTCAGCTGCTTGGCCCTTTTCTGACCTAGCATTGGCAAAACCCACCCAGGATCACTTCTGCCACATTTTTTTTTAAGACCATCTCATGTAGCCTAGGCCGGCCTCAAACTCAATATGCAGTTAAAGCTAGCCTTGAACTCCTGATCCTCATGCCTCCATCTCCCAAGTGCTGGGAGTAATTAAAGATAATGTACTACCATACTCAGAATTTCTGCCACGTTCTTGGTGATAAAATCTCATTTATTTGGCTGGGATTTTTTGTTTTTCTTTGTTTTTGAGATAGGTTCTCATTATATTGTCCAACTCACCTGGTATATAGTTAACCCTACCCTCAAACTCTCCATTCTCCTGCCTCAGTCTCCCAAGTGCTGGAATGACGGAAACACCACCACACTGGGCCCTAGGCTCCACCTCTTAATGAGGACATTGCAAGATTTCACAGGAAGCCAAGTGCAGTGGCACAGGCCTTTAAACCCAGCACTCAGGAGGCAGAGGCAGGCGGATCTCTGTGAGATAGAGGCCAGCCTGGTCTACATAGTGAGTTGCAGGCCAGCTGGGCCTACAGAGAGACCCTGTCTCAAAAACCAAAAAAAAAAAAAAAAAAAAAAAAAAAAAAAGATTTCAGAGGAATGCAGGGAATGGGCAGTGACGTTGCCACCATCTTGGACAATACTGATCATGAAAAGGATCTGTCTCAACTTTGGTCAGGAAGGCCAGGTGATACAAGGCTCACTCTCACTGACCTCTCCTCTTCTCACAGGTTACCCATGTGTTCTCTAACATCAAGAAAGGTGTCCGTTTTGTGTCTTTCGAACACTGGGGTCAGGACACGCAGTTCTGGGCTGGCCACTATGGGGCCCGAGTGACCAACTCCAGTGTGATGGTGCGAGTTCGTCAGTCCTAGTCAGAGGCCACCATTTTGGCAAGACAGCCTGACTGTGCCTTCCAGGAGCTGGAGCTGTTGGTGGGGACCCCTCATGAAGACGGCACCAGTACCTCTCTGACACACAGAACTCTAGGATTTGGTGAACAATTCTGTTTGGCCTTGTTTTCAGATTCTGGAAACCACTGGAATTTTCCATCAGATCTACCTTCTGCTGCTGCTTCAGTGGGGTGGGAATATGCATGGGGGCATGCACTTGCGGAGGCCCCCTCCCCACAAGCTACCTCTTATTTATCTCAATCCCCCTCTGCCCTGTCTGTAGTGTTGCCCTTTTTTGTTTTGTTTTGTTTTTTGAGGCAGGGTCTCATGTTTCCCAGGCTGGCTGAAAACTCCATAAGTATCTGAGGATGATCTTGAACCCCTGATATTCCTGTGCCACCTCTCAGGTGCTGGGATTACGGGTATGCGCCACCAACACCTTGTTTTATGCAGTCCTGAGGATTGAACCCAGGGCTTCTTGTGTGGTAGGTAAACACTATCAACCGAGCTACAGTCCCAGCCTGACACTGTCTCTCATCACCTCCCGTTTCTGCTTTAGAGAGTTCCTTGGCCCTTCAATGAAGCCCTCTACTCATATCTGAACTTAGAACTTGGGCAGGGCTAGCAAAATTCCAACTGCCTTGGGTGGTGACTTTCACCTCCATGGCTACCACCAGGTCTCATTTCTGAAAGTCAACTGGGATATATCTGTACACAGATTTTCTCTAAAAAAATGAAGTACCTTAGTCGAGGCCCGATCCTTAGGACCTCTATAATGGTGTAATAGTTATTTTTCATTTTCATACTTTTTCAAACAATGAGAGAATAATATGTCAGCAAGATCTGCCAATTGCACTGTAATAAATTTATTATTTTGCCTAAACTGCTTCAGATCTTTTTGTTTTGGTCCTTTTTAATTTTTACTTTATTTTGTTTTTCTAAATTTGTAATTATTTTTTATGTGTATGAGTGTTTTGCCTGCGTGTATATAAGTGCATGTGTGTGCAGGTCCTACAGAGGCCAGAAGAGGGTGTCAGGGCCCCTGGAACGGTTAGCTTGTGGGTGCTGGGAATTGAACCTGGGCCCTCTGCAATAGTAGCCAGTGCTGTTAACAGCTGAACCATCTCCCCAACCCTATTTTTATTTTTCAAAGATTTCTTTATTTTTATTTTTTATGTATATGAGTTTTGCCTACATGTATTATGTGCTTAGTGTCTGAGGAGGCCAGAAGAGGGTGTCAGAACCCCTGGAACTGGAGTTACATATGATTGTGGCTGCCCTGTGGGTGCTGGGAACCAAACCTGGGTCCTCTGCAAGAGTGTGTGTGTGTGTGTGTGTGTGTGTGGTGTGTGTGTGTGTGTGTGTGTGTGTGTGTGTGTGTGTGTGTAGGAGCAGGGAGGATCATGTGTATATGGACAGTGCTCATGTAGAGGACAATTTGAGGGAGTCAGTTCTCTCCTTCCACAATGTGGGTCATGGGAATCAAATTCAAGGCATCAGCTTTAGTGGTAAGCACTTTACCTACTCAGTCATCTTCTCAGCCCCTATTTTGTTATATTCTGAGACAGGATATGTAGCCCTGGCTAGGCTAGAAATCACTACATAGACCAGGCTGGTCTTCCTGCCTCTTTCCCAGCTGGGAGGATTACAGGATCCCAGCTTACTTCACATCTTTGTTTTGTTTTTGAGTCAGGGTCTCTTGTAGCCCAGTCTGGCCTCAAACTCTCTGTGTAGCCAAGGATGTCCTTGAACTTCTGATCCCCCTGCCTCTGCCTTCCAAGTGTTGGAAGGCCTCCTCCCCTGCAAAGTGTGCCAGGGCCTTTGAAGAATTCCACCCTACCTGCCTTATCAGTGTACAGGCCTTCCAGCACAATGCTGTGATGGGGCTATGTCTCCATAAACTCATCATCCCTGTAAACCCATAGTCATTGAAAATATAAGTCAAGGCAGAGGCATGTAGATCTCTGTGAGATGGAGGGCATCCTGGTCTATATAGTGAGTTCCAGGCCAGCTGAGGCTATAGGGAGACCCTGTCTCAAAAGGACCAAAAAAAGGGGCTGGAGAGATGGCTTAGTGGTTAAGAGCACTGTCTGCTCTTGCAGAGTACCCTGGTTCAATTCCCAGCACTCACATGGTGGCTATGAACCATCCTTAACTCCAGTTCCAGGGGAATCTGACACCCTCTTCTGACCTCTGAGGCATTGCATGACACGGGTGCACTCACATACATGCAGGCAATACACTCATATACATGAATAAAAATAATAAAATATTTTTTAAAGACCCCCCCCAAAAAAAGAAAAGAACATTGGCCGCTCTTGTAGAGGATCCAGGTTCAAATCCCAGCACCCACATGGCACCTAACAGCTGTCTGTAACTCTACTTCCAGTGGATCTGATGCCCTCTTCTGACCTCTGCTAGCATTGCATGATACAGGTGCACTTATATTTCTGTAGGCATAATACTCATACACATAAAATAATAAATTTTTAAAAATTGAATGAATGAATGAAACCAGCATAATCCCAGCACTCGGGAGGCAGAGGCATATGAATCTCTGAGATGGAGGCCAACCTGGTCTACATAGCAAGTTCCAGGCCAGCTGGGGCTACAGGGAGACCCTCCCTCAGAAAAAAAAGAAAATAAATGAATGAGGGATGGAGAGATGGCTCCATTGATAAAGTACTTGCCACATAAGAATGAGGAATCAAGCTCAGGTCCCCAGCACACTCATAAATAATGGGCAGGAATAGAGGCCCACCTACAATCCCAGCATTCAAGAGACAGAAAAAGGGACTCTGCAGGGCAGGCTGGCTAGCTAAACTTGCTGAATTGGTGACCTCTGGGTTCATGGAGGGTCTACTTCAGTAAAGACTGCACCAGGCCTAACATCAGAAGTGGCTCAGCTCCCCTGTCAACAAATAAATCACTGGAGAGTGATGGATGAAGACACCTGATGTCAGTCTCTGGCCTACACCTATGCACACACATACACATGCACATGCACACACATGAACATGCATGCACATGTGCACGCACATATACCATGTACACATACACATACAATAAAAAGGATGAATAAGGAAAGATTTATTTTGACTCACAGTTTCAATCCACAGTCACGTAGCTCCTTCATTCCTACACTGATGAGACAGACTAACAAAAAGACAAGGTAAAGCAGACTTACATCATGGTAGCCAGGAAGGAGGGGGAGGGGGAGGGGGAAGAGGGAGAGAAAACAAGACATACCCTTCAAAGACACTCTCAATAACCTATTTCCCCAGCCAAGTCCTACCTAGAGTTTCCACCACCTCCCAAAATAGCACCACCAACTGGAGGCTAAGCCTTCAACACACAAGCCTGCATGGATTCTTCATGTTTGTCATAGAAATGGATATTATCTACTTGGCAGAGACTGCCATTGGTCAGTGAGTATTGTGCACACAGCCTGTGACACACACTGCATTCTTAAAGGAGTTCTTGTGATAAGAGCACTGTCTTACTGAGGATATAGCTCAGTGGTACAGCACCTGCCAAGGATACCCCAGTGAGGGGCTGGGAGTGTACCTCAATGGTAGAATGCTTACCAAGTACACTCAAGACTATTCACTCCCCAGTGTCCAGAGAGAGAGATTTTCTGATTAAATCCTGTGACAATCTGTGTGAGCTTTCTTTTCTGTGGCCTTATCATCTCTGTTTTGTTAGAGGTAGACATAAGTGACTCCATTTTTGTCCCTACAACTTTCACAATGATATGAAACTCCAGCTGGGTTACTGTCTGCCATTGGAGGTAAGTGTGACCTGTGGAATTTATACCAGGTCCAGCTTCAGGATAAGTGGCTCAGTTCCTTAGGTCGACTTTGGTCAGAGCTGACTAAAGTAAGGAGGAGTATGGTCGCGCGGCTACTGGATGCTGGCGACTCTACTGGTCACTGCGCTTCCAGGCCTGTTCCGTTCCAAGCTACTGGGCACTCCCTTTAGGTTCGAGACGCGTCAGCCGCCGGGTCACGAGGGGAGGTGTGGGAACGGCGAAAGCAGAATCTCCTTGAGTCGTTGTTTACGAAGGGACAGCCCCCTCCGGAGAGACTGAATCGTAGGCAGTAAGACACAGAACTCAGCTCGGTCAGGTACAGCTCCTTTATTCAGTGACTCAGCTCGGCTCCAGGTCTTAGTGATTCAGCTCCGATTAATTAAGGGGAAACCAGGATATTTATAGTGTGGGGGCAGTAGTAAAAGCCTTAGTTGATAGGTGCTTTGTAGGATGCTCCATTTACATGTGGTGGTGGGCTTCCACCAGGCTGCCAGACATTGCCTGATTATCACACAGGAAAACCTGACAGTTTCATGCCGGAGGATATGTATCTGTGACGGGCACTTCAAAAGGTGAGTCAGGAAGAGAGTAGGAAGGCGCCCAGCTGAGAAAGGGAGTCGTTCCATTCTCGCCGAGCCGGCATGCGGCTATCCGGACATGGAAAGACTACAACCCAAAACAGCAGGGGTCCCCAACAGAGGAGCTCAGTCAGGGTGTTTCCTTTGCTCCTTTCTGCTCTTCCTCAGATAGGAGGTGGGGAAGGCCTAGACACTCCCCAAAACCAGTGTGAGTGGGTCAAAGACAACATCGTTTGTTGAGACAAGGTTTGACTATGCAGTCCATGCAGGCCTAGAACCTCCTGTCCTTCTACCTCAGCCTCCCAAGTGCTGGGATTCCATTTGTGATCCACTATGCTGAGAAAAAGACATTCAACGTTGCTTGTATCTACTCACTAATAGTTAACAGGCTCCTGTCCTTGACTCACTAAGAGTTAACAGACTTCTCTGAAGAGGCTTGAGGAGGGGGCAGTCTGCTCCCAGGATACTGGAAAGCAGACCAATTAGACAGCTGTCCCTGGAATGCCAGGGAGGGTGGGTAGCCCTCTCCCTTTTATGTTTCTGCATACATCAAAGGTCTGTTACTGGGCCAGTTGCCACAGCCTTCAGCACACTGTGCTATGTTCTCAGTTATGATGGGGAAATCCTATATGTTTTGCACTGCTTGAGCACTTACCGTATATAAACTCTGTAAATTTCAAACACCCAAGCTTCCAATAAGGGCCCCAGAAGGGCAGTGAAATTGCTACCAAGCAGCATAGCCAAGGGACTCCTGGTCTAATCTCAGTTTTTTGGCATTGGTCAAGCAGGGGGACTACAGTTGCTCTGCAACCCAGGTGGGAAAGAATCCAAATAAACCAGTGAGTTTTAGGTGAACTAAGTGTGAAATGTCTCCATTGTTCCCAACTCCATCTAAAAAGAAACCCAGAGAGACAGGCTTTTGAATAAATGGATTTACCTTGAAAGAGACTTAAAGCTGTGGTAGGCCACTGGTGTAATCAGGGAGTTCTCTGAATGGTGAAATGCATTTCTAAGGCTGGATCAAAGCCTTAGATATAGCAGAAGGATTACAACAGACTAAAACTTGTGCTTTCCAGCTGTGGCCAGCTGTGGCTGCACTTTCTGTCATAGCTGGGATCTCCCTGCAGCCAGGATCTCTGAATTACCTGAATTTAATGCTGGAGTTTAAGCAAACCAGCAAGAAGAGGGAAAAAGAGAAGGAACAGCTTAGGAGTTGGAGATGTAGCTCAACTGGCAAGCACTGGCCTGGCATGCAAGGGCCACGAGGCCCTTGGCTTGATACCTAGCACCATATCATTATTTTAAAATTATGTTTGCAATATGGGGCTAA